TTTAAAAGGTCTTTTCGACTACAATTAATTTTATTGTATAATGGACTATTATATAATTATTAAAAAATAAATAAAAAGAACACAGCAAAATTGCTATTTGATTTTGTGCATGAAAAGAAGGAATTACATAATCAATTGTATAAATACTACTTTATATATTCAAATTAAATGCAAATACACATTTACAATAGGAAATCATGTGAAGGAATATTGTTTGATTGCATCTTTTTATTATTCATACTCCCTCCGTCCCACATAATTTGTCCATATTTTCTATTTTCGTCCCTCCAACATAATTTGTCATTTTTTTTTTGAAAAATTAATTATACACTTTAATCATATTTTAAAATTTAAATTTAACTTTTTTAATCTTAATTTATAATTATTTTTACTAAGACATTTCTTAATTGCTTACTAATTATATTTTACCTAAATTCTCGTGTCTACGGTAATAGACCCATATTACATGAAATAGAGGGAGTATTTTTTTTCTCCTAAAAGTATAAAAATAAAATGTTTTTTATATTATATCAAATATTTATTTTAATTCAAAATCCTATTATTTGAAATCCAAACATATATTTTGTACATATACATATAAAATACTAATATTAAAAACTTTATGTATGAAAAATAAACTAATTAATAAATATACTTTCGGACGGAAAGAATATAAATATTATATTAAATAATTTTTTTAACTTTAAAATATTAAAATTATAAAAATCAAACACAAAAAGCCCATGTACGAAAACATAATTAATTCTATCTTTTTTGAAAATAATAATAATAACTTTAATCAATTTAAAATTGTGAGAATAAAATCAAATGACAGCTTGAAGTGATTTGACTAGCAAAGAGTATGGGATAAGGTTAAGCAATGTGTAATTTGAAAGATAATTACAATAATTTAAATTTATAAATAGTAAAGATTAACAAGTTGTAATTATTAAAATGACAATAACAATTATTTAATTTGGTAATAATTTTGAATACAATGATGAGTACTTGTGCAAGTAATTTGCTGTTTTGAAGCAACACAGAAAAAAAAAAAAAAAAAAAAAAAAAAAAAAAAAAAAAGAAAAAAAAAGTCAATAAAATAATAACAAACTCCTATAAAAAAATAATTTCAATTTGAATGGGAATAATTTAATTAACATTATGGTGGCTGCTTATACCTGTGATTCAAGTAACACCAAATTAATAATCAAACAAATAGACAGCAAATATTGGGGCCCAATTTGATTGTGACAACAAGATAATACAATTTTATTAATTAATTATTTTTAATTGAAGATCATTACTTGATTTGCCATCTAGCTATTGTGCTATTAATATTATCAATTTTATTTTATTCAATTCCAACAAATTACGTGGTTTTTAATTATATTGACAAGTTATATAAATAAATTTTATAATACTCCCTCGTCTCGTATCTATATATTTATTTATTAATTTTTTTTACGGAGTTTTAGAAATATTAGAATTATATTGAGATAAAGTAAAAATAAAATTAGTATTGTATAATATAAAGGTAATAAATGACATTTGTGTAATATATTGTAAATTGGAAAGGTATTTCTAATATTAGGGAGATAGTAAAATTACTAAAAAAAATAAAAAAATAAATACTTTATTATGGGACAAACTATAATGAAAAAATGAATAGATTGTTAAGGAACGGAGGGAGTATTATCATATCAAATATTACTATTATTCTTTTTTTTTTTTGGAAAATTAAAATTTTTATATAATGAAACATATTTTTTTGAGAATTTTAAATAAAATAATATTGATGGTAATAAATATAAATTTGAATGGATATAAATAATACTCTCTCCGTCCTTTAATTAACTAATTTTTCTATCTTGATCCGTCTCGTAACAAAATAATTTTTTTTCTTAATAATCGTATTATTTACTTAATATTACAAATATTCTTCTAATATACAATATATTACACAAATGCCATTATATTTATATCATACAATATTAATAAAGTTTGTTTAGTCATTTTATCTTTATTTCTACTACATTTCAATATAATACTAATATTTTTAAAATTTCGTAAAAAAAAAAAAATCGGATAGATAGATATGAGGTTGGAGGAGTCTTAATTTTTATATGTACATATAATACTATGGATTTGTTTTTTTAATATTTAAATCAAAATCAAATACTCCCTTCGTCTCATATATTCATTTGCTTTTTGCACAGGGTTTTAAAAATATTAGTATTATATTGAGATGTAACAGAAATAAAGTAGAAATGACTAAAATAACCTTATTAGTATTATGTGATATAAATATAATGACATTTGTGTAATATATTGTAAGTTGTAAGGGTATTTGTAATGTTAGGTAGACAGTACAATTACTTAAAAAAAAAAAAAAAAAATAGATACTCTGTTATGGAACAAATTAAAATGAAAAAATGAATAATTTGTTACGACACGGAGGAAGTATTATTCATTTTTTATAATTTTTAATAATAGTATATTATTATTATTATTTTTTTTTTTATAAAATATCACATTAAAATCCAATTTAAACAAAAATTAAAATTAAAATACATTATTTCAAATTAATTTCAAAACATAATTAAACAAACTTTATATATTTAACCGTTATTTTACCATAAGATTAAAAGACAAATAATATATATATATATGCATGCATTAATTAGGAAATAATAGTCAATGTATATACTTACACGTTATGGATTCTTACATGATCAATGTCGACATGTACACATTCACACACATACATAGATAGATACTTATATACATACATACATGTGTGTATGTATATGTGTGTGGACATGGCAATGGTCAAAGCATCATCCAACACCAACTGGATTACCGGTGTGAATATAAATAATAATATTAATAAAAATGCACCAAACATGTTTACGTTCACATTATTGTACGCCCTTACTTCCAAATTAAATAATAATAATAATAATATAGAGAGAGACTACTTGGCAGAATGAACTTCCAATTAGTCTGCAAGAGATAATTTGGTGGTACAGAAGTTGGACTTGTGATCGTGAGGTTATAAGTTCAAACTTCCGATGCTTCAGGTCATCTGTCACACATGGTTCGTCGGTATCTTATTTTGTTAAAAATAATAATTAATTTGATTTTTTATAATAGTGGTACGAAGGTCATAAAAGTATTATTTATTTTAGTTTTTTTTACAAAAATATTTGTGAAATTTTAATTTATTTTTATTTAAAAACCATAGTTATTCCTCAATTCACTAAAAATATATTTTTTTCTTTTATAATTTTTATATATATATATATAAAACATAATAATAATCATACTTGATGGGCAGAAAAAATATATATATAGTACTAGTATTTAATTTGTAAAAATGAACAAATAATTTAATAGTATCTTTATTTTTATTGTAATTTATAAAAATAAAATAATTAAAACAGTGAACAAATTATTGTTATATTGGGATTTTTTTTTTACAAATATACTCCCTCCGTCCCAAAAGTATAGTCTATTAGTCGGTAAAAAGTAAGGATAAATGACTTTTTTGTCTTTGTGAGTATATCAGTGTAAAAAATAGTAGAAATTGCGTAATAATAATGAATAGTTTTATGATGATATGGTTATTTATTAAAATGAGACTATTTTTTGGAACGGACAAAAATGGTGAACAAAACTATTGTTTTGGGACGGAGAGAATATTAAATAAAGAGTCATTATTTGAATACTCCTTTCATCATAATTATTTTGTTCCATTTAGCTTAGTCACAGTATTGTGTAATTAGTAAGTAATTAAAATATTTATTAGCAAAAATAATTATAATTTAATAAAAATAATTATAGATTAAAATTAAGATGTCCAAATAGTTTAATTAAAATTATTAAAATGTACTCACTCATTCCTAATTCAAATGAGTATCTTTTTACCATTTTTGTTGTTCCACTCCAAAGTATTTTTTTATTTTTTATTTAGTAAAAGTAATCATATATCCATACCAAAATACAGTTAATTTTTACTTAAATTACAAACATACTATTACACATATAATTACTTTTACATAAAGTCAAAGGGCAAAAATGTCAAAATCTCTCACACATTTCCACTAGCTAATAAAATACTATTTTTTCTTAATCTACTACAAAACTCTAAAGAGTCCATTTGGACCGAGAGACAGAGGGAGTATAATTATATTTTTATTTTCTTTTTTAAAAAAAGACAATTTAAGTAAGACTAGGAGTACAATATTACCTAAAAAAGTTCAAAAAAAAAAAAATACGCTCTAAAAGAATATACACAGTTTACATATTTTTACTAACTGATAAAATATTATTATTTTTTAATTTACTACTCTCTCCGTACCAGATACCATGTCCACGTTGCCATTTCTGTCCGTCCCACATACCATGTCACTTTAATCTTATTTTAAATTTTAATTAAATTAATTAGTTATCTTAATCTTAATTTATAATTATTTAGATTATAGGATAATTATTTTCACTAATACATTTTTAATTATCTATTAATTACACTCCTCCTAAAATACCGTATTTACAGTGTAGTAGAGACGGTATTTGGGACGGAGGGAGTATAAAACTCCGATGACCATTTGGATAGTATAATTATATTAAGGGTCTGTTTGTCTGGGGATTTGGATTTTGAGTTAGAATTTGAATAGTAAAAATTTTGAATTTGAATAGTAGTACGATGTGATATAAATAGGTGTTGATGTGATGTTTTGAATGTAAAATTGATTTTTAGTATAATATAAAAACTAAAAAAATAAGTGTTTGATTTGATATTTTTGAAAAAAAAAAATTGAATGAATAGTAAGATTTTGCACAAATCTTACAAACGAACACACCCTAAAAAGAAAAGGACAAATTAAGTACTAGAGTACAATATTACCTAAAAAAGTTCAAACAAATACGCCCTAAAGACTACACACACGCCCTCTCTCTCTCTCTCTAGTCTCTCTCTCTCTCTCTATATATATATATATCTGTATCTATATAGTGGTACGAAGGTCATCGTTAAGAAAACAAAACCGTTCGAGCAATAATCGACAACAGTACACAATCAATCAAATAATGGCTTCGGTAGGCACTGAAGAATACGAGAAGGGGGTGTCGGCAGCGGCGGCGGCGCCACCGCCGGAGCGGAAAGAGCCGCTGAAGACGGCGGAGGTGGTGCTGAGGTTTCTAGTATTCGCGTCGTCTCTGGTGGCGGTTTTGGTTATGGTCACCGGAAACCAGACGGAGGTCGTCGCCAGAATTCCGATCCCGCCTTTCACCGTTTCCAGAACTGCCAAATTCAAACACTCCCCAGCTTTCATGTAATAACTATTTTTCTTTTTTTTTCTCTCTCCATATAATATTTTAAATAAAAAAATAATAAAAATTAATCGTTAATAAATATTGGTAGATCGTGTTCATTATTATAACTTTGATTTTTTGCGTCGCACAGATACTTTGTCGCAGCACATTCCGTGGCAGGATTTTTTGGCATCGTATCGACACTTCTATCGTTCTACGGTTTGAAAAAGCCCGCCTTCTCTCAGAAGGCATCTTCCCATTTCGTCATCATTGATGTGGTAATAATACCATCTCATATATAAACCTTTAATTTGTTTATATACACATTTTTAATTTTTTTTCTAATACTATTCATAAATAATCATTTTTGTTAAAAAATATTCATACGATTAATTCAATATTTTTAGGGTAAATTATTTTTTTAATCACGTATTTGATCATTTTATCATTTTAGTAAGTGGACCATGTTTGAAAATAATCCGTAACTAAATTTTTTTCGCTAAAATGGTCCTCCGGTGCCGGACTCGCCATACTGGCAGCCGTTGTTGATGTGGCGCTGACGTGGCTAACATGTCATCGCCACGTAGGTGCCACGTCGGAGGACCATTTTAACGAAATTGTTTTACATGCCGGACTATTTTGAGACAAAGTCCATTTAAATATCTTAAAATTGATAAATTAAATTATATACGGGACTAAAAAAATAATTTACCAAGATATTTTGTAAAATTTAAAATAAAAAAAATTCCACATGTCGTTGACATGGCATCTACGTGGCAATGACATGTCAGCCACGTCAACACCATGTAAGCAACAACAGGCCAGCGCGGCAACTCCGGCACCGAATGATCATTTTTAGCGAATTTTTTTTTTACTTATGAGACTATTTTCAGACATGATTAATTAAAGTTTTAATATGATAATGGGGTTAGATACAGAACTAAAAAAACAGTTAACCATGTTTTTAATATTTTCAAAAGTTTCTAAAACTTTTCTCTAAATAGAGCCTATATATAATTCATTTCATTTTTAATAATATTTTCAAAAGTTTCTAAAACTTTTCTCTAAATAGAGCCTATATATAATTCATTTCATTTTTAATCTACTTATGATGTGTTTTGAAAAGTATGTAGTTTTGTTTGTAAGGATGTGTCTTCTTCTTCTTTTTTTTTTTTTTTTTTTTTTTTTTCTTATTTAAATATGTGTAAGTTTCATGTTATTCGTGATGTATATTGTAACCAAACTTGTAACAAATAAATACTCCTATATACTTTATTATTAGCGGAATAAAAATAGAAGAACATATACCTTATATGTATTGAATTTTTAGTTAATATTTGAAATAAAAATGTAAATATTAATTTTTATGTGTGTGTTGTCGACAGCTGCTGCTGGGGATTGTGGCGTCGGCGACGGGAGCTGGAAGTGCCGTCGCTTACGTGGGGCTGAAGGGAAATTCGCACGTGCAATGGGGAAAGATTTGCGGGTTGTACGACAGCTTCTGCCGCCACATTGGAGCTTCGATGGCGGTCTCGTTGTTTGGTTCTGTCGTGCTCACGCTTCTCGTCTTGCTCTCGCTTTATTCTTTGTCGAAGAAAATTCCCAAGTAATTGGTGATTGATGGATTTTGTTTTGTTTGAAGAATTATTTGATGTTGTTTTTGGGTGTGTAAATTTGAATGTAGATTTGGGATTGGTTTTTTCTTGTCTAGTTTGGTGAACTGTAGAAGCAATTTATTGTAATGTAATGTTAATGTATTCATTCTTATATGTTTTGTGGTAATTAGTCAAGCCTTTCTATTTATTGATTGAATTTTGGGTTTATCTTTCCAAACAAATTTACAAATTTCTTAATATTATTCTCAATATATATATTTTATCATTTCAAAAAAATTAAAATTCAACATAAAATAATTTTTTTTTTATATTTCTGACATGATTCTTCCACGCCCTTCTCTTGGCTTATCTTGGTGACAATTTCAGTTTATGAAACTTCCATTGTCTTAAATTAAACATTGCCCTCAATACTTCAGTATATACAATATATAACTAAAATTTAAATATCCCGTAAAAAATTGATATAGTGGTATAAGATGAACTCGTAACCTTATCAATTTTAGACTAGCGTGACTTGTCTTGTCAGACTTAATTTGCACACCAAAAGAATATTATTATGTGTTGTACTATGTTAATAAGCAATTAGGGAACAAAGTAACATAAACTTTACTAATAAATAGATAATTACTCGATATCAATTCAATTTAAGTAAGGCTCCAATTAAATAAAATTGTAAGACAATATACATAAATGCTCAATCATATTTGTAAGACAATATATATATATATATTTAAAAAATTACTATTAACAAATAGTACCAATATATATATATATATTTTTATGACGTGAGAATCCACACGACCGAACCTCCCTTATCGGACAATAGTACCAAATTTTTTGAAAATATTGCGGGACTTTTTAAATATATGACTCAACAGCATATGGAAAGACATTAAAAAGTGACGAATTTCATCACACAAAAGGCAAAGAGTCGAATAGCAGTTTATAACTATAAGAGAGTAGAGGTTCGTTCATTCGCAGCTACATTATATTATGCTGAAGACGACAGTAGGCCAAAACATTCAACACATTCATTTCTAACATAATTGACAACAAAACACACAAACAAACAACGGGTGCGAAAAACTATCTTCTCCTTCGACTGTCTACGACATTTAAGACAAAAAATGAAAACGAAAATATCAATCCGGCAATGCATGCTGTGATGCGGCACTAATAAAAAAAATTATAGTTTGTCGATGAGCGCAAGGAAGTTTTCAGAATTTACAAAAAAAGAAACGCCCGAAAGTTGTGTACCTTTTTCACGATCCCAAAAAAGAATGCCGGAAACAAGACAAAAGGGACAGACGAATGTATAATCAATCTCTCAAACAATTAGGCAGTTTTTACGGCACAATTACCTGATGAAAGTTGCGGTATCATATCATTCTCGAGTATTCAGAACAGAGCCTTTATTCTTCGATGGCTTTAGTTTTCTTCTTGGAGCACCGACCCCGGTGGGATCAGCCAATGGGCCTGACCATGTTTCGATTGGTTCTTTGGCGTATGAAAAATTCATTGTACTGAAAGGGACATCGGGAGGATCGAAGGTTGGATCTATGTGATGAGAAGGCCCCATGGTGTAGCCGAGTCCTCCGTCTTGGTGTGGAGGAGGGAATTTTTCGCTTTTGCTCTTTGCATTTGCATGGTTGATCAGACGTCGCCTCTGTTACACGTATAAAATGAAAAATTGAGATAAAGTCAGAGAAACTTTGGGTGAGTTTGGTTTATACTTCAAACCCATGTAAATACCATTCAGTCTACATAATTTCCGATAAAAATGTTCTATTTCCTCTCGCAAAAAATAATATCAAAATACTATTTAACCAAAATTCAAATAAAAAACTGAATTTCAAATCAAAACCAAACAACCCTTCATTGTAAATAACATTCAAATCAATATGAATTTAGCTATTTTACCCAAACCGGATAATTTTTTAACCTTTTCAAAATTTCTTTTCCACGTTCGTATGCAATGGCAGGAACATTATCCAGCTACTAATTCTACTTCATCAAGAGCCACTCAAATAAAAATGGAGAAAACTTGACAGGACAGATTTCAGGAAAACCCGAGAATGCAATATGATTTTTTTACCGAATATGTGCTAAGCTGTGACATTTGATCTATAACTTGCAAGAGAGAACCAAGTTTTGACTTAAATTACGAATGAAAACCTATTTATGTGCACAGGACAGTAATAAGATTTGACGGAAGTTATACGACAAATGTGCTTATAATGGAGGTTTTGAAAGATGGATTTTAAATGACGTACATCGATATTGGCTCGCAGCTCTGCATTGGCTTCAGGGGCTGGCATTGCCCGTGATGCTTGCTCACGCACCCGTGTTTTCTTTGAGCTGGCAGCATGTGTTTTACCGGCTGTTTTTAACCTGCAATTGTGAAGCTGCGGTGAGCCAGAGGACACAAATGGTGTAATTTCCAGATACAACACATACAACTTACAGCATTACTTCTTCCAGAAAAAAAATTATACTCCTTCCATCCACCAAAATTATGTTTAATTTTTCTATTTCGGTTACCTGCTAAACTTATATATAGTCGATATATAGTAAAACACTTTATCAACTCATTTTTTTAATATCTCTAATTTAACGAATAATAACTATCTTGCCACTCTATTTTCTACCTACTAACACTTTTAATAAATTTTACTCTACTTTTATATTAAAATACTATTATCTTTTAGTTTTCATGCTCGGACAAAATTACATATTTTTTCCAGAGGGAGGGAGTATAAAACAGGATATGTAAAAGCACTCCAAACCTTCTAGCTTCTTCATCCCGACGCTTGGCATCCATCTCCTTGCTTGGAGGATACTTTGGAAGGCTCGAAGGTTCACAGGCATAAGGTTTAGTTGTGAAGAACTGCAAGAGAAAAGGAAATCACTCGTTATACAGAGATTCGTGCAAAAAGGGAATAAGAGGTCGAAAAAAGCAAGTATCAATGGTCCTACAGCAGAAATTCAGCATTAGAGAGAAAGGACTCACTTCGCTCCTTAAAGCAACTGTAGCAGTTTGACGCTCGGCAGGATCAATTGCAAGAAGAGTGTCAATTAAAGGAAGCGACGACTGGGGAAAATCTTTGAAGACATCTTTTATTCGCCTTTTGTATGCTTGCTGTGGCTTGAATATGGTTGCATGAGGCAGCTTCGACTTTTTCCAATATTCGTCAGATGGCGAACCGCATAGCTTAAAAATCTTGTGAAGCTGTTCCACCTGATTGCAAGCAATAGTTTGTTAGTGTAATTGGGAATCGTGTTTTATAAATACGACGAAATTGCTCCAAGTTGAAAGTTTCATATTTAATTTTAGATTATAAGCTAAGAAATTGAACTGTATTGCACTCAGAGAACACGAAATATAACAGTTTTCGGAACAAATAAAACAACGATGCACCTTCTAAAATGGGAATCAAGCTTATCGACTTAGACGCATAGATACAACTCAATACGCATAACACCATCTACAATATAAGACATAGCTCATAAACAAAGGTTGTGTTTGGTTGGAGGATTTTTGAATTTCTACAATTCACCAAAAATTTTCTCCTAAAAAAATCAAATTAAATTATACTAAAAATCAATTTTACATTTAAACAATTTACATCAAAACCTATTTATATCACACTATGCAGCTATTCCAATTCAAACCTTTTTACTATTCAAAATCAATATAAACCCAAAATCCAAACCCCTAACAGAACACACCCGCAATTTTGCAATAAGTTACAGCCATCAAGTTAGAATAATTGATCATTTAAAAACCAGAAACCAATTGTCGGCACGGACCATTGTGCACTATTCTTAAACACACAGCATCAGATTCAACAGCCACATATTGTAATACCGTACCACAAAGTCAGACCGTGCATAAAATCATAAAGAACTTGAACTCAAACACGTAAAGTATTTACCTCTGTACGCCCAGCCATGATGGGCTTTCCAGCAAATAACTCAGCTAAAATGCACCCAGCGCTCCACAAGTCCACGCCTACACCATAGTCGGTGGCTCCAAGCAGCAGCTCGGGCGGTCTATACCAAAGGGTTACTACACGGCTCGTCATGGGCTGTTTGTTGTTGGGGTCAAAGATGGTAGCTAACCCAAAATCAGCAATCTTAAGAACTCCATCATCGTCAATTAGAAGATTGGAACCCTTAATATCCCGATGTAAGACATGTCGATTGTGGCAATGTTCAAGGCCGGACAATAGTTGATGTACATAGCATTTGACCTATAATATTAACAAATAATCACCAGAGGAAAGATTTTTACAGAAATTCTTAAAAAGGGATGATGTAATTAAATGATTCCGGAAACAAACATGTGAATCTCACCTGAGGCTCTGTAAACTTGATGCTAGGACTTGACGAAAGGCCAGCTAAATCATGTGACATATAATCAAACACAAGATACAAACTACACGACATCCTAGACGTCACCAAACCTTGCAATTTCACAATGTTTGGATGATCCAGGCGGCGGAGAATCAAAATTTCCCTAGCCATAAATTTCACACTCTCGGGCTCTAAATTATCAAATCGAACCTTCTTCAATGCCACAATTTCGCCCGTCAAAGTATCTCTAGCTTTATAAACGTTGCTATAAGTACCTTGTCCAATCTAAACCAAATTCAAACAAAAAATATGAAAAAAAAAAAAATCAGAAACATCATTTCAAATGTAGCAAAATTACTTGTAATTCGAAAAGTTGCACCATTCTCCTTCATGGTTTAAAAATTGTAAGAGACACATTTGTGTTCTATAAAACATTGCACAAAATCCCTAAAAGTGTTTTCGAATACCGAAGTCTTATGCAATTTTTAGGGAATTCTTGCAATATTTTCTAAATCATTATGCAATTTTTAAATCATGAGAAATTATGATGCCAACTTTCCAAACATCAATGGATTATAAGCAATTTTTCATTTCAATGTAGATAAACCTAAAACAACACAAATCAGAGCAATTTTAAACCAAATCGTTACTAGAACCGAAAAATCACATGCCTTATCGAGCTTCTCAAAGGTATCCGCCCGACGAGGCACCCATCCACTAAGAGCCTCGCCGGCAACTGCCACGAGCCATGGAGGCCATCCAGCAGCAACTTGCTCACCTTCAACATGCTTAGGTGGATTACTCAGCCTAGGATTCAGCCTAGCCTTCCTCTTCTCCTTTCTCGATGGCTTCACACGCTCATCCTTAACTTCATTTTTATTATTATCCCCTCCGTTCTGAACTTCTCCGGCGGTGGCGCCACCACCGCCGCCGCCACCTCCCTCAGCCTTATTTACTGAACCATCCACCGCTTTCTCCCCCTTCCTTGACAAATCTTCACCTCCTACTCTATCTCTACCGAAATCGCCTCCAGATGGCCCAGGAGACGACGCCTCTTTGCCAAAAACACATCCCATCTCTCCAAGAAGCTAAATTTCATTGCTCATCCGAATTCCACCAAAAATTAACAACAGTTGCGAAATTAAACACGCACTTAAGGACGAAAACCAGCATACGAACGAAATCCAGTAACAAGCTTTACTCAATCGAGCATATATATGAATAGTATCCCAAAATCCGCAAACAAACCAAATAAATCACACAAACAAAGGAGATGTAAACGAATAGCGCAAGCAATTACAGTTACGGAGCGTGAATTGAAGCAGACTTCAATCAATAAAGCGCGATGCTTGAAGTATAATAATGGAGTGCGAACCCTAGCTTTAGTGCTGAACAAAGCAGAGGCAGCAATTATGATTTTGTGAATGCCCGCGATGCTGAGCGGTCAAAAATTGAGGGGCTTGATTTGTCGGGCCCGGGATTCCGAGTCCCGATGCGAAGGTGACCGTCGATCGTTGACGGGGCCCAATCGGACGGTGGTAGATGGCATCCAGGAGCAGATTGAAAATAATTGGTGTGCTTTTTCTTTTTTTTAGTGTGGGTGTGGGATTGAAGAAGCCTCAAACACAAAAGAAAATAGTCAAAAGTCCAAATGAATTATTTATTTATTTATTAAATATTCAAATGTGTGATGAGCTGTACAACCTTCTTCGTCACATTTTTGTCACCTTCAGTGAATCTCACTAGCTTTTTTAACTGTAGGCAGTCGCAAATTTGGTTGTATTTGCTTGTAAGGCTTTTTATTATTTATAAAAATATAATATTAAAGTAAATATTTATTTATTTTTTTATATTACATTATAAATTAACTTTACATTTAAATATATAATGTAAGTATTTCTCTATACTACATTAATAATTTTTTAAATTTAAAATTGCAAACACAAAATTGTGCTAGGTGTGTTTATTTAATAAAATTATTTGAAAAAATAATTTTTTTTTATGTGAAATATATAAAATTTTGAAAGTAATATAAAAATAATAAATATATATAATATATTAATTTAATAAATTAATAATTATACATATGTTAAAATAGAGATTTTTAAATTAAATAATAGTTTTTTTTTAAAAAAAAAAATATGAATTCCATTTATTCATCTTAATAGAAAAATATGTCGGATATTATTACGGAGGATACATTTCTTTGAAAAAATAAACATGCTTGTTATCCGATAGAAAGTGAAAGGTTTGTATTGTTTTTTATTCTGACATTTTAATGCAAATATTATTGAATATAAATAATATTTCATGTAATATTATAAGTAAAATTTTAATAAATTTAAATAATCTAATAAATATATATATATCTAAATAAAATCTTTTAGCTTTCTATTAAATTAATTTCAGTTAAGAATAGAAACAAGTGAAAAAACATGATAGAACTTCTAAACCCAACCCCATAGACTTGATTATAAGCTTATATCCAACATCTACCCTATTAAATGCAAATACAACATATATATATATATATATATACATAAAGGATAAAAAAAAAAAAAAACTCTATTATTAGAAACACCTGAAATAGATCAATGTGGGTAAAAATTGAGATATAGTGAAGATGTTCATCATTCAAACTCCACAGATTCAATAATATGCTTATTTATGTATGTATGTATGTATAATCAAGAAGGAGAAGAAGCCAAACCATAGATAATTTCAGAGGCTTTCAAGGAACTTCTCGAAGCTCGGATATTCCGGTTCCCATTCGAGCTCAGCTCTGGTTTTCGAGTTGTTCAATTTCTTACCTAAAGGGTCAGATGTTCCTGCAAGAACAACACAAATTTGGTAACTGGAAATGAAAACCAGTTGTGTAAATTGGATGGTATGCTTTACGTACCTGTAAACCTCTCGAACTTGTTATCGTATTTTCCACTCTTGTTAACCAGTTCCATCAATTCCTGCCTGAATAATAATAACAATACAATGTAACCTGTTAAGAGTGTCGAAAATGGTTCTATCCACAAAGAGATCCTACTTTTGTCGATTTTTTCTTTTTTTGCTCAAACCTGGATAGGGGATGATTGTCGCAACCTAGAAAGATCCTGCCGCGAAGATTCTTTTTCAAGATATTGATCGAAAGTGATGCTGCATCCTATTGCATTGCACGAACCGACACATTGTTTCAGAAGGTACAATAAACTATGATCACAATGAGTTCCCAAAGAAAATAAATTTATGAAATGATCATCTCGACTAAAAGTTAAATTAGTAGGAAAGTACATCATTAATTTTACATTATATAGTCTTCCAGTACGTCCTCTTACATGCAAGGTGAATTTTTACACCACACAAACCTTGCACATGAACAATATTTTTTACGTAAATTTTTAGATGAAGTAAAAAAAAATAAAAAATTATCCATGTACTTGATTCATATGGTGTAATGAAAGACTATATCATATGATGTATTTTCCAATTAGCTTAAATTTTTAGGTGAAATGATCATTTAACAACCTTATTAAAGGGAATTCAAAACCATTACCTCATAGTGAATTAGATTAAGGATGTGATCGGGTCGAACGTCAGCAATCCCTTTCTCCAACCAGTATACATGGGCACCTCTGTCGGCTTTGTACTGCAAGTTAAGGAATTGATGGTATTGTTTTTATGGAGGGGTGGGATATATAGAAGCAGTCGTAGTGATAATTCAAAAGGGATATGTAAAGCCCCGATAATCTAACAACACAACCCCCAGCCTCCACCGCTGCTTTCTCAGCTTTGAGTAAATTATCTGTCCTGGGACTCATTCCAATTGGTACAACGGGAGTATCCTGTGAAGAGAATTCGGTTGCTCAGTTGACAGAAGAAGATACCTAAATAAAAAGATTTCCAGCAGGCCCAAAAAATGTTTATTTGATCAAATGAATACCTCATTGCAATATCCATTATCGTTGCAGTCGTAGGGAGCTGAGCTTGAAGTGAACAAGAAGGAGCCTTCCCCATTCCATTTCAAAGTTGCTTCCCTGTTAATATCAACGATGAATAAAAGACAAAAATATTGCGGAATTGTGGAAATCAAAAAAATAAAATGCCAACACAGAAGACAATAATTTAGTATCTGGCCAACCTATATCTGGGGTGGCCAAGTAAAGTATTTTCACTGATGGTTTCAGTTTAAGTTTCAGACAGTACAAATAATATATATAAGTGTCACATTAAAATCCTAACGATCCACGGCCAAAAATAATTTTTTGGCTGCCCCCTTTAAACCCCCAGCGACCTTAATGCCAAAGTCAACAAGGAAATGGATGCAAAGTACTCCTCAACCTTAAGGCTTCAGCTTGGGGCTTAACAATACAACAAAAAATACTATAATTTAATTACCTTTACTAACCAACACGAATCGCTACATCAAAAGATTAAACTACATTGGTCCGTAACAGCCAATTAACAGAAAAATAGTATGCTATATAATAGATGTAAGGACAAGTAAATTTAATCTCTCAACTAATGCTATTCACCAAATGTCTCAATGAAACCGTTAAGCATAAGCTGACAATATTCTAGAAAGCCAAACATGTCTGTCAGTATATTTCCCAGCAAACCAACATAATATATACAAAAACATATCATACAAAATGTTTCATGTAGATTTAATAACAGGAGCACAATCTTATACTCACCTTACATCACCGGGGTAATCTGGAGTTCGGTATGGAGGGGCACAGAAAATAACATAAGGGAACTTATGAGTTACTTGTGTTTCTTTAGTGGAGGGGATGATCCCTTTTCTTCTTAACTCATCATGACGATCAGTTGTTAGTGTCTGCCCATATATTTGAGAACCTGGATGTAGCTGCCACAGAAAAATTCAAACTGATCACCGTACAGATATCAAATTTCACACTCTGAGACAACCAAAAAAAAAAACAACATGCTGCTACATAACAGATAATACATATTTTAAATTCCATGCAAATGTTAATAGCACACCATGGTCCTTGAAACAACAGATGTTCTCTGGATAAAGCTGTATGCTACAGAATAGCAAATGTTAATGACTAAGCAATAAAAGACAAGATATGATCGGCTTTCATTAGAATATGTCCTAAGGAATTAGGCATGAATTAATTGACTCTAATGCAGAAATATACCTTCTGCCATTTTTCAGCCACTATGCATCCCAGCACCCCTGCCCCAACAATCAACAAATCTTCGGCTCCAACAACTCTGGTGGAGGAAACTTCAATTTTATTGTTGGGTTCACCTTCAACATGCCAAGCACAGAATTAATGGATTATCAATGAAATCATACACGTAGAGATACATCAGTTATGAAGTGGCTACTACCAATCTTTTTTAAGTGGACCATCAATGGAGTCTATCAAAATAAGACGTGATATAGTTTATTTGAATTCTTCGATTTCTTATTGATTACATATTCATTCCAGTATAGTTTGATTGTATTACGAGCTAAGCCTGAACGAGTTTTGATCGAGCCAAATGCTAACTAATCTGAAGGAGCTCGACATTTTCACATGGATATATATATATATATATTTATATATATCGTTTATTAACTCAAATAAAAGCACTATCTGCAAATCAGCAGCGACGAGAAACTCACAGCTACGAAATTCTGTGTACATTCAAGCACAAACCAATTAACAAATTCATGACCGCACGATAAGCTCACAGTTACAAAATTACGCCAATTTTAGGAAAACGACTATTAGAATTGTGAAAGAACACACACATTCACGAAGAATCAGTGCACCAGAGAAATTATCGCTTGAGGATGAGAGAAAACCTGGACAAGAATTGACTTCCATGGGAACCGGTGTGACCGCGTTCGATTCCAGTGATCGCAGTCTCCAATAGGCAAAAACGCCAATGGAGTCGAGAATCGAGGCGGAAGAAGTAAGATTTGAGCTTCCGAGAATACCCAAGATGCTCAGTGCAGCCGATGATAGCCCGAACTGAATCTCGTTATCTTCCGCCAAACGCAAATAGGACCGGTTTGTTGGAGTTTTCTTTTTAGGAGCTTGTTTGTTTTGTTTGGTTTAAAGGGTTTAATTTTATCTATAAAATTATATAAATAATATAAAATAATGAATATCTCTAATATATTTTTTTTTTAAAAATTAGGGAAAATAGGGTGTGTTTCTTAAGGTAAGTGGGTTTGGTTTTTATTTGAATTTTGGGATTAGTTTGAATTTTGTTGTTTTTTTTATTTGGATTTGACTAGGGTTTGAGGAGCTTTGATGTGTATTGATTCGATGAATAATGAATAAAATAATATAAATGTGTATTAAATTTAATTGATAAAATTAATATTGTATAATTTGATCATGAAGTTATATTATACCCAATATATATATTTAAATTTTTTTTATTCGTATTATAAAAAAATTTATTTTCTACAAAATAACATATATATATATATTTTTTATATTTTTTTTACACTATAATTGTTATATTGCAGCCTTTGTCCTGCATCGGGGAATCGGGCTGATTTGGAAAAAAAATACTGTGCACAGTGTTTGCACCGTATTTTCCCCAAACATGTCTTGGTTCGGGTGTGTTTGTTTGGGGGTTTGGATTTTGAGTTGGGATTTGAATAGTAAAAATTTTGAATTTGAATAGTTGTATGATGTAATATAAATAGGTGTTGATGTGATGTTTTGAATGTAAAATTGATTTTTAGTATAATATAAAAAATGAAAAATAGGTGTTTGATTTGATGTTTTTGGGGAAAAAAAATTGAATGAATAGTAGAAATCTTATTAAATCCCCCAAACAAACACACCCGAAACAGACTCATATAGTTGTATTTTTTTCATACAATAAATATGCCTATTTTTCTTTTTATTTAAAATCATCATTTTTAAAATAAAAATTATTTTTTCTATTTCAAATATGATGTCTTATTTATTGTAAATACGGAAAAAAAATTATTTAATAAAAACAATTATAATTTAAGATGAAGATAGCTAATTAATATAATTAAAATTAATTAATTATAAATAAAAAAATTTAAAATAAAATTAAAGTATATAATACTTTTTGAAAAAACAAAAGCGATTAATTAATCATGTATTAATAAAAATATTAATTATTTAATAAAAATAATTATAAATTAAGATTAAGGTAACTTATTAGTATAATAAAAATTAAAATAATTATAAATAAAAAAATTTAAAATAAAATTAAAATATATAATACTTTTTGTGTGACAGAATAAATGGTACACTGAGACATAAAAAAAATAGACACTATAAATGAGACTGGAGAACTAATATGTACTTATTTGGTAATTTAATATTGACACTTTTTTTTTTATTTGTCCTACATTTTTCTATTTTGGGTAAAATATTATTAAATTAAAATATATTTAATAAATATAAATTAATTTAATTAACTCTATAATATATACTATTATATATTCATTCAAAACTCTGGATATTAATCTCTTTTCTAAAAAAATATCATTAATTATAAAAAAGAATTATAATATTTTTTTAATTATTTATTAATTATATTTCATTTAAAATTTTATATTTACTGTAAAGTGTACACAAAAGTTAAAACCAAGAGAGTTTTAATGAACATTTGTGTTTGCAGGACAAAGTAGGCATTAAGATTGGATACTTAAAAAGATATACTGAAAATGTCGTATCATAATATATGTTGTTTGTACAAATTCTTTGATATGTTTTAAAAAATACAACACCAAGATAACATATACTTAAAATTTAATATACCTAATTATTCATATGATACCAGTTTATGTTCATTCAGTTCATTTAATATTTTTCAATAAAATATTATTATAAAAAAATATAGGTATATACATATTAATATAATATATAGATTATTTATTCAAAAAAATTAATAATTTAGTATAAAAATATTATTTTTTTATACTGCACAAATTTTCATATCATATACTCTCTCTATCTTAAAAGTATAGTCGTATTACGTTGGACACGAGATTTAAGAAATATTGATATTATATTGGTAGTTGGTAAAAAGTAATAATGAATAACTTTTTTGTCTTTGTGAGTATATTAGTGTAAAAAGTATTGACAATTGTGTAATAATAATGAAAAAGTAAAAGTAATTTTACGATGATATAATTATTTATGTAAATGAGACTATTGTTTTGAAACCGATAAAAATGATAAACAAAATTATTGTAATGTGACGGAGAGAATATAAAAAATCAATTTTATGGACAAACGACTGAGCCAACAAATTGATTATTTCCTTTTAAAATCATGGGGCGACATTTTCAGGTTTTGGTAATGCAAATTTATTTGTGGCTTTTAATGATGGTAAATTAGCAGCCAAGAATGGCGTTTCAACAAGGTGTGAGTCAGCAGCCTGTCATCATGCAATTGGGCTTCCGCCACGTGTCGGATAATGAATTACTTTTTAAAACTAATTAAAAATGCCTTGTGGTAGGTAGGCAGTTCGATTGTATGCCAAAAATATTTCTTCTATTTGCATTACTTTTTCCACCTTTTTCTTATCCAATCACCCAAATTTGAGGTTGTCTATTCAAAATGGTCCTCATATTATTAAATATATATATATATTTTTATTCTTTATTAAAAAATTAAATAAATAAATAAAGGTGGCCCTCACACGTTTTTAATGGATAAGGAATCAACCAATTACTAACTCCGTCTCAAACAATGTGCAATATTTATTTTTGGCACAAGTTTTTAAGTGGATAGTATTAAGTAGGATAATTTAAAAATTAGGTGATATAATAGAGAGAAAAAATAGATATTTTATTTTTTTATTTGGATGATGTGAAAGGATAAAGTGTGCGGTAGAGATTAAGTATAATTAATTATCTCATATTTTAGAAATGTTGCAAGGTGTTTGGGACGGAGGGAGTATTAATTTTCCGAATGCGAACAAGATATTATTCTCTCCGTCCCATTGTAAGGATGACATTTACTTTATGCAGCTAGATTTTTTAATATTAGTATTATATTAGATTGTAGTAAAAAAAAAAAAAAAGATAAAAATACCCCTATTAGTATAGTGTAATATAAAAATAATGACATTTGTGTAATATATTGTAAGTTGAAAGGATATTTATTATATTAAGTAGGTAGTACAATTAATAAATTAGAAAATAGTAACCTTATTTTGAGAGAGACGATAACTTCTCAGTGAGAGTGAGAGAGTATATATACTTTTATTTTTCTTTTTCTTTTTTTGATTTTTAAAAAATGAGTTTAATGCCAAGCTAAATAATAAATTCACAAAATAGGCTTGTTTAATCATGTTTTATAATTTTTTATATTTTAGAAATGATAATAAGAAAGAAGTATATACCAAAATTGATTCCATATTCAAATGAATTCATACAAATTGATATCTTTATTACTCTGTCTATTTAAAAAATAAATATTTTTATGTAAAAAGTTATCTAAGTAATTATAACAAACATAAAGTACAATAAACAGATATATTAAATAATAATAAAATAAAAAATAGTATTATGTTACAATATTTATACATCATTAATAAGTTTATAGTGTATTTTAGTTTTAAATTACTATATTTATTATTGTGGTCATTTTTTTTTTTTTTTTTTTTTATCATAAATTATGGGTGTATTGATTTTAGTTTTGTTTCTATTTTTTAGTTGTATAATAATAGCAATTTTATATATATATATATAGATATATATTTTTAATGGACCATTACACTTAAAAACAAACTCATAATTTAGTACGAATAAATACTAAATTGACCACGGCACAATATAAAAATAAAGGAAATATATGGCTTAAAATTTGATGTAGGTAAAATAACAATAATTAATACTCCTTCCCTCCCAAATACTACTACACTAACACGGTATTTTAGGAGGATATAATTAGTAGATAATTAAAAATGTATTAGTGAAAATAATTATCTTATAATATAAATAATTATAAATTAAGATTAAAATAACTAATTAATTTAATTAAAATTTTAAAAATAAAATTTAAAAAATTTAAAATAAATTAAAAATTAAAGTGTGTAATTAAAATGAGATGCGTAATTAAAAAAAAAAAGGAGGTGGGAAAATAAATAAATAACGGAAAGGAACGGAAGTGAAAGAAGCAACCATTAGCATTAGGACACGTGTCCCGAAGGCACTTTTTCTTTGGTCCTTTTTCTTGTTCTTCTTTAGCCATACAAAATTTCTGTCCTTTATATCTCCGAGAGCCATTCCCAATTAGTTCTCAACTTTCTTCGGAGGATTTTGCTCTCTCAAATCTATCTCAAGATCATTGCTAGCTTTTCGAATTTTTAATTCACAGAGAAGCTTCGTTGAATCTTTGTTGGATTCACAAAATTTCAGTGGATTCCTGAAGTAATTCAACCATTTACCTCGTTTTTTGGCCTCCACAGATTGGATCGAGATATCTGACTGCTGACCCAAATTTCTGGTTTGAAATAACTCTGTAATCCACAGTTTTTGTAGAGATGGAAGTTTCGGTGATTGGAAGCTCACAGGTAAATCTCACAAAGGTAAACGATACTGGATTCTGTAACTATAGCAGGAGTTTGAATGCTAAGATCTGGAGATTGAAGAACAGTAATTCCAAGGGGTGCAATTTTGTCCGAAATCGAGGGTTATCGTTTCCTTCACGATCGGAAACTGGTTGTAGCCTTAGAGCATCTGCCTCTGTGCAAACTGAAGCTCTAGTTTCTGAGAAAGCTTCAGAAATGGCCACGACCAGACCTGTGAGTCCTTCGTTATTTTTAGGCTTTTCATTCATTTATTTACTTGATGAAGAAATTGATTCCGATTGTGGTGGAATGCTGTTTTCATTTGAACTTCTTCATGATTTTGTTTGATCCGAATAACGTTTGCCGTTAATCGAAGTTCAATTTCTTCAAACCTTATCCAACAACTGTGCTTGAAGTTCAATTGTACTTGACGATGAAGTTGGTTCCGTTTGTGGTGGAATACTGTTCCTCTTGCGTTTATGCTTTCATTTCAACTGCTTCGTGATTTTGTTCGATCCAAAAACCGTTTGCCATTAAGTTCAGTTCAATTTCTCCAAACCTTATCCAACAATTATGCTAGACGTTCCCGTGTATTTGGCTTGATTATCGAACATAGATGTTAAAACGTGCTCAAATGTGTCCTGAAACTGTTCATCAATGTTCCTGCAGATTGATGGCGTGAAATTATACGTAGGTTTGCCACTAGACACAGTCTCCGCCTCCAATACACTAAACCACGCCCGCGCCATAGCTGCAGGGCTTAAGGCTTTGAAGTTATTAGGCGTAGATGGTGTCCAACTACCGTTGTGGTGGGGAATAGCTGAACAGGAAGCTGCAGGGAAATACAACTGGTCTGGCTACCGATCTGTCGTCGAAATGATCCAAAACTTGAATCTCGAGCTTCACATCTCGCTGAATTTCCATGCTCCTGATGAAGAATATGCAGTTTCTCTTCCACAATGGATTAATCGAATCGGTGAATCCGATCCGAGCATTTTTTTCACAAATCGATCGGGACAGCAGTACAAAAACTGCCTCTCATTGGCTGTGGATGATCTTCCAGTTTTAGATGGGAAGACTCCACTCGAAGTCTACAAATGCTTCTTCGAAAATTTCAAGTCTGAATTCTCACCATTCTTCGGTTCAACAATTAAGGTATGATTCGATCATTTTACTCAATGTTTCATCTGCAAATTATGCTATGATTCGATCATTTCATTCGATGATTTACTCAACATTTCAACTGCAAAACATTTGCTAGAATTCGATCATTTCATTCGATGATTTTACTTGACATTTTGACTGCAAAACATTTGCTAGACCTCGATCATTTCATTCGATAATTTACTCAACATTTCGATTGCAAATTGTGCTAGAATTCGATCATTTCATTCGATGAATTCACTCATTTTTTACCCGATTTCTGATGCAGAGCTTGTCGATCGGGCTAGGTCCAGACGGCGAGCTACGATATCCATCGAACAACCATCCATCGCAAACCAACTCTCATTTGAGCGCCGGAGAATTCCAATGCTACGACAAACACATGCTCCTCAACCTGAAGAACCACGCCGAATCACACAGTAACCCGTTATGGGGTCTCGGAGGCCCTCACGACGCCCCGACCCACGACCAATCTCCGCTCTCCGGAAACTTCTTCGCCGAACACGGTGGATCTTGGGAGACCCCGTACGGCGATTTCTTCCTTTCATGGTATTCCGGCGAGCTTGAACGCCACGGCGACCAGATCTTGTCCCTCGCCGCCTCGACCTTTAGCGACTCTCCCGTCACATTGGCTGGAAAACTCCCCCTCGAGCATGCATGGTCGAATCTCCGATCGCACCCGTCGGAGCTAACGTCGGGATTCTACAACACAGCGAATAGAGACGGTTACGACGACATTGTCGATATTTTCGCGAGAAATTCGTGCAGGATGATCCTCCCCGGAATGGAGTTATCCGACGAGGACTTTTCCGGCGAATGTCGCTCCGGCCCCGGGTCGCTATTTGATCAAATCGTGTCATCTTGCGGGAGGCGCGGCGTCGGGGTGTCGGGACAGAATTTGTCGCCGCCGCCGTCGTCGTCGTTGGCCGGAGGAGGATTCCGGCGGATTAAGGAGAATTTGTTGAGTGAAAATGGTGTGGTGGATTTGTTCATGTACCAAAGGATGGGAGCTTATTTCTTCTCGCCGGAGCATTTTCCGGCGTTCACGCAGTTCGTCCGCAGCCTGAATCAGGCGGCGGCCGCGGAGCAGAGCTCCGACGACTTGCCGGTGGAAGGTGCGGTGTCGATCTCATCGGCAGTCTCTGGTATGAACTTACAAATGCAGGCTACTGTGTAGTTTAGAATATATTGTGTACATTCGGCATTGAGAACAAACATATTGAATGTGCTTTTATATGTATAAATAAATATATATATATATATTATATATTTATGTATGTTTATAATTAATTGATTATTGCATTTGGGAAGAGGGACGAAATGTGGTGATATTTTTCTTGATAAGGAATTATTTATAATCGTAGTATTAGCTTGTGGTTACTCTTTCTATGCTCCCGCTGTCAATTGAAAATGGGTAAGTTAATATTTTGATATGAAATTTTATGATTAATAATACTTCTCTCGTGGCATAAAAGTATTATTTTTAAATTTAATAATAGTATTATCTATATAAGATAATAAATATTTGATTTTATTTCATTTTTTATTGAAAATTAGGTATAGTTAATAGCGTTTCAATAAAATCTCGATTCAATTTGATAAATTGAAATATACAAATGTACAGCAAATATACAAATGTGAATGGTGCAGCACGCTTGTAACCTTCTTCTCACATATCATTTCTGTAACAACAGCACAATTCACAACAAACACGAAACACAACAAGCACATATATATATATATATATATCTCTATGTACACCTTACCATCTTTTTTCTTACTCATCTCACCTTCCAAACTAACAAATCCCATCACCTCTCACTTTCTCTCCCCTCCGGGAACTTCGCCTCGCCGCCGCGCCTCCTGCTGCGGGGAACCAGAAAGTGACAAAAAAAGAAAAATCACCATTAGAAGCAAAAATTAAAGCTCGAAACAAGTTACACCAAAAATAGACACAAAAAAAAAAAAATACCGGTGGCAAAAACAAGTCTGTCTATTCATTCGCAGGCGATTTTAGTGTCGAAGCTGCTAAGACATATGGCAAAGGCCTGGAAAGCCGAGATGGGATACCGGTAGTCCATCGTGAAGACATCTTTCCCGACTTTCCCAAACTGAAGAATGACCTTCTCGTGCTCTGGCCCCCCGGGGGCGTCGTTTTCTGGGGAAGCAACCAGCTGAAAGTTTTTAACAGACGCGACTGTGACGCGCCCATGGAAATTCAGACACCAGCACTGGAGTTGCTCGTGCCATCGTGGAGCCTTGTTTCTCAGAACAAGCCGGCTGGTCAATGGCCCCGACAAAAGTTTGTCTGAATGATTTGATTTCGAGCGGAAGAATGGGATTGCCGGAGTAGTCGGGTCAGTCCTGGCGATGGGGTACTGTGTCAGGGTTGGAGCAGATCCTCCGGGTTTAATGGCAGATGAAGGAATTGCATCGAGAACACAGTGCATTCTTCGCGGACCTCTGTATAGGTAAAGAAACATCTTACGATTTACGATAAATGAGAAGGACTACATGAAAACTTGCTCCGATGAATGAAAATTTGACGTAAACATACTAAAAATACCATTCGATTAAAAAACTTCTGACTTGTGATCAATCCATAGATACCGGTAGAAAATAAATAAGCACTCAAAACAATTATATGTTCGAGGATCGTTAACCAACTCCTTATCGATGCAATTCAATTTGAACAATAATTCAATTGATTCTAACAAATATGGAATATAAAAAAGAGATATAGACTGATAATAGGTAAAAGTATTCGAACATTCCCTTTCTGTTGATTCTCTGACTTGGCAAAAGCAATTTTTAGTTAGAAGGGTGACAGTGGTTTAATAAGTTTCTTAAAAAATTTAATATCCAAATATATATATATGATTTAATTGGATATAAAAAATTTTAAGATATATATTTACATTAATATTCATAATTGCCTCTTCCCAGCATATCCCATTAATTGCTTTTACATAGTTCAGATTTAAAATGTCTTTGAAAAACCATTAAGTTACAAAACCACTATCTTTTCAAATAACTTCTGAAACTATTCATCAATATTATCTTATATTAAAAAATAAATAAATAAATAAAAATCGCATAAAATACTTATTTTTATTTAAAATATGTCAAATCAAAAACTATTTTTTTGAAACAAAACATCAAATTCAACAGAAACTTTAAAAATTAGAGTTTTGTTTTCATTGTACCTGGCTCCGAGCACATTAAGCTCATAGGAAATGTGAGCCACGGGATAGTTTCCAGCAGGAACCTTAGGTGAAACTTGTTTCGACCCAACCATGCGGGTGGACCAACTTTTAGACATTTTCGCTCCACAGTGGGGAGGAAGAGCATCATACACAACAAACTTTGTTCCCAAAAAATTCGATCTGCCAGAACGAAAATTATTTAGAGCATTAACATTCATTTTTAAACTAGCTGTTAAAGCTGACATTTGATCACCTTAATTTTCCGAGATATGTGGCGGCCCCCTTTGACATATCATCAGCATGTAGTGAGATAATGTAATCCGTACACGTGGTCCGCCTGCACTTACGTGCAGCAAGAAGAAATTTCCCGTCATCTGTCAGTGCTGCCACAAATAACAACAACAGCATGTTTGAGTGACGTAAGTCCCAGAATAGGTCGACAAACAAAAAAGACTAATGTAGCTAATATATCAAGTGAGAAAGTCATCAAGAACATAATCAGCACCTTGGCTTAAACTCAAGAAGAGAGAATAAGTTTGAGTAGAGCGATCCCTTTTAATAAAACATTGGATAAGAGACTCTCGTGGCCCGGGCTGCAAAATTAGAAAAGAAAACATATCATCAAAAAGGAAAATATTAGGCTGTGAAAAGGGGTATGATCCCAAGCTCCATGAGTGTTAATTATCTAATCTTCGAAATGGAAATTGCAATTGCAAAAACAACACGACGCGCAATTGGAGAAATTATTGTATTGTATAGAAATACAAATATTACCAAAAATGTTACAGTATATAATATATACATATAACAATAAAAGTCGACAAAATCACACAAAACGTCCTTTCCTGTAAAAGTTTCACGATCCCTCATACCTTACAACAAAAATACCTAAAACTATAAACACTAAACTAACATACTCAATGATCTTTCAAAAATAAAATACAAAATGAGATGATTCATGAACTTAGTTTTGGGAAAACCAAACAAACAATCTTAACACATTCGGGAAATGCCACTTATCAGTCTACATGGCCACAACATACATTCGTAACTAATATTGGAATGTTTGGGCTCGAAGTCAAAGTCAAAATGATTTTTCGAGCTCAAAAAAAACAATAGATAAAAAGGCAAGTCGACACTGAGATACATCATCAACAACCATCAGCTCATCATTCCAAAACTGCATATTTACATGCCAAAACATCATGTATCATCAATGAGCTCAAAAACTAATAAGAACTTCAGATTTTAACATAACTTAGCATCAATTCATTAAACAGGTTTTTCAATTACACAAGAGTATATCAATATCACATATTGCAAAGCTGAATTAATCAAACAGAACACAAACAATATATGAATCTACAAAACATATTACAAACCCAAAGAAGCTTCAAACCTGGATAAACACAAATCCTAAGATGCTTTTGAATTAAAAACCAAATCAACAACTCAATATGAATCAATCAGAATTCGGAAACAATAAATCAATAATCATATAAAATCAGAATTTAGAAACAATCAATCGATCACTACAAAATCAAATTTTAGAAACAATCAATCGATAAATAACCTTACAGAATCAGAATTTAGATTCAATCAATCGATCAACAATCATACAGACCTGCTTAACAGATATAGGAAAAGTGAGTTTTCCAGAAAGCTCGGGAGTTTTCACGACCTCCTTCATCATCTCCCTCCAATTCTTACAGACACCAGCGCAAGCCACCACGTGTTTCCGAGACGGCCATTTCGACTCAGATTCCTCCACCTTCGACAACACTTCTCTCAATAATTCCCAAGGCAAACTGTCCCACCAACAATAGCCACAATCCTCAGCAGCCTCCTCCTCCTCCTCGCTTTTACCTTTACCCATACAAATCTTCGATTTCTCCACCGCCACAGAACTGTCCTGAACCACCCTCCGCGACCGCGACTTCAATCCCAGCTTAATCATCGCATCCACCACCACGATTGTAAATTAATCTCCCCAATTTCACAACCACGAAATCCCTAACCCCAAACCTCTTCTCGCTCAAAAATCTCGAGCTTCAAACACGAGATTCAAAAATTATTGTTCAATTTCAAGAACTTCAAAATCTGAAAAACTCGATATTGCTGCTCTATCGCAAAAAATCCAAAAACACAAAATCGACTTAACGGTTTGCAATTATACAGCAGAATAACACTTCAATTCAACCAAAATATTAAAAATAAAAATAACTCAGATGAACTAAAATCCAAACAAATGGAAATTCATTTCCATACGGAAATCAATCCAAAAGCGAAAATCCTTTGAGAGGAAATTACGCAGGAAGGTTTGGAGCGTTTTTCATATGAACAGCGCAGACAAGCAATGTTGTAGCGAAGAAACTGACGGCTTTATTCAGGCAAAATAATAATATTATATATTATATTTTATATTAATAAACAAATAAAAAAATTAAATAATAATATAAAATAATGCAAGGCCGTGTTTGTATATGCATAATATGATAAGGTTACATGCTTTGGACCCACTTCCCATTTTATTTATTATTATTTTTTTATATTTTCATTAGAAAAATCTTGAGTAAATTATTTAAAATAAAATATTTTTTTGATATAATAATAATTTGTCAAATCCGCCACGCAATTAGATATATTTTGTCACACTTTTTTTAATCACTGCGTGTTTATATCGTATTGTATTTATAATTTACCTTCGGATTTGTTCTGATGGGACATAAAACTAAATGCTTAATTTATGCCACGTGAGATTATTTAATTTTTTTTTTCTACTTTTGGAATTGTTTTGATTAATTAATTTTATTAGTATTGTATTATATAAAGGTAATTGAAATGATATGTTAAGTAACTAGTACAATTACTAAAAAAAAAAAATGAAATTGATATTTTGTTACAGTGACGGACCAAAATGAAAAAATAGATAAATTGTTAAGAAACTGACGGAATATATTTTTTTTATTTGATTTTGGAAATTTTTAATTGAATTTTGTATTAAAATAATAATTCATGGATATTCTGTTAAAAAAAAAAATTATACATAAAGTAAAATAGTAAAATTCAAAATTTTATATTAAATTCTTTCTAATTTAAATGATATTTGAATATAATATTTTATTAAAAAAATATAATATTTTTCTTGATAATAGTGATTTGACTCTAAAATCCAAACCAAACACATACATTAGTCAAGAATTATAATTTTCATTATGTCTTTCTCTAAATAAGGTTAAATATTTAATTTAGTAACTAACTATATTATTTACCTAACATAATAAATATTTATTATATTTTTACAATTTATAATATATTATGTAAATATTATTATTTTTATATTATACAATACTAATATAAGTATTTTATCTTTTTAATATTAAAAAATTTACATTCAAAAAACAAATACTGCTATTATTCTTCTTAGGGAACTAAAAGAGTATAATTCCACGCTTTTATTAATGAAATTGAAAAAAATAAATAAATAAATACTATTTAATGTTTAATTTTTTTAAAAAAAATCTCTAATACCAAATCCACATAACATCAATATAATAATTAAGTACAAGAGGTCCCGTAAGACTTGTGACCATAAGGTCATGGGTTCAAACTCTGATGCCTCATGTGAGTTCACCTAACCCAACTTTATCGTTTTGCAGGATATTAGGTTTCACATCATTGAAAAAAAAAAAAAAATTAATAACAAGAGGTCATTTTATTACTAATTTTGGTTTATTTTACTATAATGGAAATTATAAATTTAAGATAATCGTTTGGTGTTTTAATAGGATTAATATAACATAAAATGTACTCCTTTCGTTCCAAATAAGGTGCAACATTTACTTTTGGCACGAGTTTTTAGATCGATATATTAAGTAGGATAATTTATAAATAAGTGATGTGATGGAGAGAGAAATATATATTTTATTTTTTTTATTTGGACGATGTGAGGGGATAAAATATGAAGTAGAGATTAAGTATTATTAATTATTTCATATTTTAAAAATATTGCAGGGTGTTTGGGACATACCAAAACAAAAATGAAAATGTTGTTGTTTGGGGCGGAGGGAGTACATAATAGGACCAAACTTATTAATAATGACTTTCAAGATAAACCAAAAAAGAGACGTATCTTGTGTTAGTGTGTTACAACTAATCCCACCTTTTATTTTATTATATATATATATATATATATATTGGTGTAGAATAATTTAGGCTCTCTTTATGTTTATTCAATTTTTTTTCTACTATTTTTTATTGTTTTTAAATTCAAAAACATCAATTCAAAATGATATTTAATATAGCTGTCAAATAAAAGTATATAGTTGTCCCCGAAGAGATGACCTCCTGATATAATAGTTGGACTCATGATCGTGAGGTTATGGATTCAAACTCCCGATGCTTCAATTTATTATGACATATGTGGATCGTTCAGTACATCTTATATATTTGCAGATAGATGTTAAATTAAGAAGAAATTTAAAATTGTTGATGCATTGTCTATTTATTAGCAACCACTATTAAGTTACTTGTCAAAATCAAATTGCTTTAATGTATACAAACAAATTTTATAACCAGATTTTTGGGATTAGTTCTGATTTGTTAGAAGTTTTTGGATCATTTTCATAAGTTTAATGAAATCATTGGTTTGTTCATTTCTATGCAATACTAAATATCATGCTCTCCATAAAAATATATTATTTTTTTTTTATAAATAAAATTTAAAAATATCAAAAATAAATATTTTAATAAATCTTTCGTAACAATTAAAAACAAAAACACCAAACAAACACATTTGCTTTGTATCTTTAATTCGAAATAATTTTTATATTAAGTACAAATAAAAATATATTGATAATATAAAAAAATACTGCCTTAGTCCAAAATAATTATGTTAGATATTATTATTATTATTATTGTAACCCCATATCGCAGAACCATCTCAAGGCAAAACAAACGCATTTGTTGCCAATGTTTGGGTTGGTAATACTGATAAGTTTAATTAAAAATAATATTCCTCTCCGTTAAAAATAATACTCTGCTAAAAGTATACAATTATTTTTGGCGCGGAGATTAAGAAATAATAATATTTTAATTATAGTGAACATGTAAAAGTAGTAAAATGATATTTTTGACCTTACCTTTTTTAGTATAAAAATAATGATGTGATGTAAAATAAGAGTATTTGTGAAAAAAATTGGGTATTTAATGAAATAATTATTTTGTAATTGAACGTCCCAAAATTTAAATATATATACTTTCTAACTGGACGGAAGGTGTAATAATAATAATACTGTTAAAGTTTAATTCATATAAAAGCTTAGCTGGCAAAAAGTGATTGGTAAGGGCTTTGTGGGCCTACCAATCTACCATTTATCAGCCCATCGGTTTCTTTAGTGGGCCCCATTATAATGCCCAGTTTTTTGTTTAATAGTAAACTTGTACGTGTGTTTGTTAATAAGTGTATTTTTTATACTTCTTTCGTCCTAATAATAGTTTTGTTTACCATTAGTCTCATTTTCATAAATAATTATATCACCATAAAACTATCCCTATTTTTTCATTATTATTATACAATTGTCACTACTTTTTACCCTGATATACTCACAGGGCAAAAATATAATTTATCCTTATTTTTTACTGCCTTAAATCTCGTGTCCAACACAATAAAATTATACTTTTGGGACGAATGAAATATTAAATATAAAAAATTATATTTATAATATAAAAAATAATATATATTTTTATTGAATGTTAATTTTTTTTGTGAATTTATAGAATATCTATGCTAAATTTATGAATAATCTATTGACTAGTAACTTTATTATTTTACGTTAAAAAATAATTACTAATTTATTACTATTTTTTTATATAATATTCTTGTTTTAAAATTTGCGCATTTAAATATTGTAGTCTAATTAATTTCAAATAAACAAATATTATACTCTCTTCTTTCCTTAACAATTCATTAATTTTTTTCATTTTGGTCTGTCACATAACAAAGTATTTATTTATTTATAGTAACTATACTATTTATCTAAAAAATATGAGACGAAATGAATATTATTTAATAATATATATTGAAATTTGTGCCAATAACTAACCACAAAACCATTAAATATAAAATATAAGGAAACTAAATCTCAAATGTTAAATTATTTTCATTTCAAAGCATTCGGATAAAAAACAAATACTCAGTCCGTCCAAATACCCTGCAACATTTCTTTTTTAAGTATATCCCAAACATCTTGCAATATTTCCAAAATAGAAAATAATTAATTATACTTAATTTCTACCCCTCACTTTATCCCCTAACGTCATCCAAATAAAAAAATAAAATATATATTTCTCTCTCCATCACATCACTTAATTTCTAAATTATCATATTTAATACTACCCACCTAAAAATCTGTACCAAAAATAAATATTGCCCCTTGTTTGGAACGAAGGAGTACATAAAACCTAATTATTTCCAACCGCCAACCATATACACTGAACTACATTCCAAACCTATTATATTTTATATTTTATAATTTTATATTTTAGTACATTTTTGTTCAGTGAAAAATAAACTCAAAATATAAAAATACAAAAATACAAGTCAATTTTACAAGTAGAAATATTAAATTTTGCACATGGTTTATTCACATTGTGGCACTAGTCAAAGCAAGCAATAATAAGCTTTGGTGGGCTCACCACTAAATAGTTCTTACTCAATATAAATATCATATCATACATTAAACATATAACCATGTGCTTTATAATTTCATATTCAATTACTATGGCCAAGATCAATACCCAATTCTACAAACTCCTATAAAAGCATCTTCTTCTTTTTTCCTTTTATTTAATATATTCTTTTAATAATTTTTTTTTGTAATTTGAATAATAAATAATGAGATTGTTAATAAGCCAGCTACACTTTATTCCCAAAATTTACTTGGCTATTGGCCAACTAAGGGTCTGTTTTTAAAAAAATATAAATATTTATTATTTTAATTTTATATTACATCATAATTAATTTCAATTCAAAATATCATTATATTATATGTATATATATTTCATCTAACACAAGACTCCATATCAACTCAAATGTGTTTGATACTTTATCAAAGAAACGTACATAGGTGTTGCTTTGTTCTTTCAACAAAAAGTTTTAATACATTTTTTTAAAAAAAATTAATATATTACATACATTTTTTATTTTTATATTATCTACACATTTTTTCATACCTTATATATAAAAAATATCAAAACACAAAACAAATACACCCGTTGTTCCTTCGGAGTTAGGGAGGTGGCGAACCTAACATTAAGCCCCATTAATATTTCTATTTATATAGATATAAATACTCTATATGTCCGATTCTAAAGATTT